CAACTTTTGCAAATCTTTGAACTAATAACTTGATGTAAATGGTAAGTATTTGTAAGACTACCAACTTTTGCAAATCTTACTTGACTTTTGAACCAATTATCTTATTAAATGGTAAGTATTTGTAAGACTACCAACTTTTGCAAATCTTACTTGACTTTTGAACCAATTATCTTATTAATAGTAGCATAAGCTTTGAACTAATAATTTAATAAACATAGTAAGTATTTGTTAGACTTACAAAATTTTGAGACCCATTCCAGCAGGCGTCATTTCGACTATATCCTTTTTCAGACCCTTAGTCAAAGGATCAGCCACATTCTCTGAAGGTCAGACGTTAATCACAAAGATGATTCCTTGACAAATGAGCTCTCTCAAATAGCTATGCTTCAGACGAATGGTCTGCTTTTTTCCATTGAACAACGAGTTCGCTACCACAACATTCATCACTTGATTATCAAAATAGATAGTAATTACGCCTTGCAATTTCGTCAATGGAAGGTCTCGGAGAAAATAACTGAGCCATTCAGCTTCATCTCCTGCAGCACAGAGCGTGAAGAACTCAGAGTCTATTGATGACTGTGCAATCATGGTCTGCTTCTTTAACTTCCACGAGACGGCAGCTCCACTCATAGTGAAGACAAAACCTCCAGTAGACCTGCACTCATCTGATTCTGAGTACCAGCTCGTATCTAAATAGCCTTCGATTATACCTGGATATCCAGTATAGAATAGGCCCAGACGTGTAGTTCCTTTTAAGTAACTCATCAATCTCTGGACAGCATCCCAATGAAGCTTTCCAGGATTGCTTGTGAACCTACTAAGTATTCCTACAGTGAATGTTATATCTGGTCTTGTGTAGCTTATCGTGTACATAAGACTCCGAATGATCTTTGAGTACCTTAGCTTCTCTACTGGTCTTCCAGTGTTTGGTCGAAGCTTCTTGTTGTAATCGTATGACACTGATAGTTCTGGCAAGTCGTTGTAACCATACTTTTTTAGCATGCTCTCAACATAATAAGATTAGGACAATCCAATACCCTCTTCAGAGTATATGATTTTAATTCTGAGAATCACGTCCGTAGTTCTAAGGTCCTTCATGCTTAACTGTGCTGAAAGAAATTTTTTAGTAGATATTATTATCTCCAAATCACTCCTAATGATGAGAATATCATCCACGTAGAGGCAGATGTCCACCACCTTTCCTTCAGCGACCTTGATGTATAGGCACTTATCAGATTCACTGACTTGATACCCATTATTGCAAACAACCCCATCGAACTTCTCATGCCAGAGTTTTGATGTCTTCTTAAGTCCATATAAAGACTTAACAAGTTTACAAACCTTACCAGCTGGAGCATCAAGTCCTTCTGGTTTCTCCATATAGATCTCTTTTGTGAGAGGTCCATTAAGAAAGACAATCTTCACATCCATCTGATGTATGAAAAACTTGTTAATCGCCGCCCATGTGATAAGCACTCTGATGGTAGTGATTCTGCAAACTGGTGCATAGATATCAAAGAAATCTATATCTTCTTTCTGAGAGAATCCTTTCACCACTAGTCTTATTTTGTACTTTTCAGTAGTACCATCAGGACAGAACTTCTTCTTGAAGATCCACTTACAACTAATAGGCCTTGGACCTTCAGGTACATCTACCAGCTTCCAAGTACGATTTTGGATCAATGAATCCATCTTATCATCTATAGCTTCTTTCCACAGAAGAATGTCTGTTGACTGCATTACTTCTTGAAAAGTCTATGGGTCTCCTTCCACATTATAGGTAATAAAGTCATCTCCAAAATCTTTTTGTATCCTGGTATGCTTGAAAGATGGTTCGATAACTCCTTCATCATTGACGATTTTAGTTTCTTGTGAAACTGGCTCCTCTGGTGCATCTGACGTACTAGCATTCTTTGCTGTATCTTTGAGCAATAAGCCTTTATCTTTGATAAACTTATCCTCAAAGAATTTTGCATCTTGAGATTCAATGATGGAGTTGGTTCAAAGGTCCAGGAACCTGCAAGCATTGCTATCTTTAGCGAAGCCAAGAAACACACATTTGTTAGCCTTTGGTCCGAGCATAGGTCTTCTGATATCTGGATTTTGAACATATGCGAGACACCCCCACACTTTGAGATTATTCAAATTGTCTAGATATCCCAACCATAACTGATGAGAAGTACTATCAGTTTTAGAGTAGGGTACTCTGTTTAGAATCCAGTTTGCCATCAGCAAAGGCTCTCCCCAATAGCAGGTAGGAAGACCAGATGTGATTAGCATCAAATTCACCATCTCGGTCAGTGTGTGATTCTTTCTTTTTACAATCCCATTAGATTATGGAGAATACAGAGTAGTAGTTTCAGTAATTATTCCATGCTCCTTGAAGTATACTTCCGACTCCTTAGATCGGTACTCTCCTCCTCTATCGCTCCTGAGTTTTTTCACCTGCAGTCCAAGCTGCTTCTTCACTCGAGTCCGAAACTCGACAAACTTGTTGAATGCTTCATCTTTAGATTTTAACAGGTAAACATGACAGAAGTGAGAATGATCGTCAATGAATGTGATGAAGTACTTCTTGCCGCCACGAGTGACGAAGCTCTTGAAGTCACAAGTATCTGAATGAATTAGATCTAACGGGTTGGTGCTTCTCGTGACACTTGAAAATGGCTTCCTCGTCAGCTTTACTTGCGTGCAAACTTCACACTTCTCAGGTTTGTTACCCTCATATTTTGGAAGTAATCCTAACTTCTCCATGCTAGACAGTTTTCTATAATTTTCATGTCCTAGCCTATTATGCCATAATATAGTCGAGTAAGCAGAATAGAATACTTTATTTATAACCAAGTTGGGTGCAATAGTACTGATTTTATTCATGTCATCAGTACGATATGTATTACCAAAATATATTTTTTAAAGGATAATACAACCTTACCTCCTAAAAAATCTAGCCTCATACCTTCATCACATAGCAGGCTTTCAGAGACTAAGTTTTTGGTAATCGAAGGAACATGTTTCACATCCTTCAATGTGAGAGTCTTCTCTGAAGAGAGAGTCAGTACCACAGTCCCAGTTCCAAGAACAGGAACCACAGAATGATCAGTCATTGATACGTATTCTTTAGTAGCAACATAAGAAGAGAATAGATTTCTGTTAGAGCAGACATGACAAGTAGCACATGTATCTAACCATCAACCAGAGATGTTGTTAGGAGTTGTTACCCGAAAGAGCATAGTCACACAATCATCAACTTGATTAACATTATGTGTAGTTTCTTTCTTTGGTGCTTTGCAGTCCTTGGCAAAATGTCATTGTTTCCCACAATTGAAGCATTTGCCGCTCTTCTTGAACTCCTTCTTCTGAACGTTCAGGTTCTTTGGATTTTGGTTCTTTCTTTTGTTAAAGAACTTTTCCTTCTTGTTGAAAGATGAATTATTACCCTTTTCAGAGTTAGCAGCCACTATGTTAGCAGACGCCTTCTGCTTAGCAAGGAGCTCAGTCTTCGTGCGAGTCCGAGTCTCGTCCTCGATCTATGTTAGCAGACGCCTTCTGCTTAGCAAGGAGCTCAGTCTTCGTGCGAGTCCGAGTCTCGTCCTCGATCCGAATGAACCTCTTCAAATAGCAAGGAGCTCAGTCTTCGTGCGAGTCCGAGTCTCGTCCTCGATCCGAATGAACCTCTTCAAATCAGATAGAGTCACCTGCCTTTTACTTCTTTGAATATCAGTAGAGAATAACATCCAAGATGGAGGAAGCTTGTTAACAATTGCACCAGAGATGAAGGTTTGACAAAGATTAATATTTTCATCCTTCAGCTTCATATCAAGTTTTTCAAGCTCTTTAACTTGAGGCAAAACCTCAGTGTCATATTCAAACTTTAAGTCCAGAAACTTATCAATGATATGAGATTTGGACAGCTTCTCCTCATCCTTGTACTGGTCCTCCAGAGCATTCCAGATTTCCTTTGCAGAAGGCTTGTTGGTGTAAGCATCTGTCAAATGATCGGCCAGATAGTTAAGAAAATAACTTTTGTAGAAATGATCATCTCTAGTCCAAGAGGCTTCAGATTCAGAATCTTCTTCAGGGTCAGGTTTCTCCTCAGAAACCACATAGTATATTTTCATGAGTTACATCCGAAGATTACTTTCCGATGCCATGCATTAAATTTAGAACCGTCAAAGTTCTCTAACTCAAGACAATCCACTCCAAGAGTCCTCGCAGGATCCATGCTAGATTAAAATAATGCTTTAAGATTGTTGGTGCTTGTGGATAAATCTGGAATAATACAGATATATAACAGCAAAAACTGAACAGAAAACTGAAGTGTAGTAATTTAAAATTTTCAACTCAGCTGCTGTGCGTTTGTAAAACGCAGTGGTTAAATCATTATTTAGCCTACTCCGGTGCAAGGATCCCAAGGCCAAATTGTTTCCAGAAACAGTAGTCCAGTACTCTGATGTGCATCGACCCAGTACTGTCAAGATCTCCTCGATCTATAAGGCAAAGATCTCCTCGGTCTATCAGACAAAGATCTCCTCGATCTATAAGGCAAAGATCTCCTCGATCTATCAGACAAAGATCTCCTCGATCTATAAGACCTTCTCGGTCTAGACACTGTTCCTACGAGCACTAGCTATTCTACAATATATATATCTGTAAATATTGATTGTTGTTTTTGGAATGAATTTTCCTTAAGCATTTGAGGTCTATTTATAGTATTTGGAAAAATACTATGCATTAATAAAATAATATATTTTACTATGCATGTGGGCCACCACATCCAAATTTTTCTTCGGTGGGGCCCATCACTTTTGAAAAAATAAAGAAAACATGGGCTGCTGCACTGCTGCAGCAGCCCATGTGAGGTTTGAAAACAAAAAGGTACAATGATAATGAATGTACTTCAGGGTAAGTGGGGACATATAATTACAATTATTTGATACCTTTCATTTGTAGTTATAGCTTCAATAACAGATTTAGAAGAGGAACATTGATATTTATCAGACCTGAGAACCAAGGGCTTTCAATAGAATTCCATGTTCGTTTTGAATTAGAGCACGACCTTTCGCATAACTTAAAGCAGCTTTTGACAAAGCATTGCTGCTGGTGCAAGTTTCATCAACGCCAAATTTCATACTATCTTCTGATAATTTGTGACCTGCAGAGTACAACTCTGGGTATTCATTTTTCAAGTATATGGGGGGAAAAGTTTGACCGACTAACCTATTTCAACTTGTTTCGATCCAATGGCGATGTATCCTTCCACACCACGAACCATATCTCTTTGAAAATTCTGAAAAAAGAAACTATATATTAGTTTGAACAAAACGATAAGCAACAAAACCCCAAATGGAGAGAAAAAAGTAGCTATTTGACTAACCTAATTTCTGATGGTGTTGAAGTTCCTCCCGAGCAGTAATTAGACTATCTGAACTTCCATATAGCTGTTTGCGAACAGCCTGCAATGCCGGCAAAACAGTACATGGATATCAAAATCGACCCCTAAATTTCTTCCGGTGATGATTATGACGTGTCTGGAAAGGTCATTGACCTAAAGAAGGTGAAGGTCTCCTGCACTGAAGTGGGTCAAATCCGAAAAAGAAGACAACGCAAACATTTTGCATACTATTATGCGTTAGATGATGTGTAGGTTTTGGCCCCTCCCAACATTCTAATTATCTGTGGTCTAGGAAACTCCAGTCCAGTTGGACTTTCATGCCATGACTCTCCAACTTTTCCCCTCTTCTTCTTGTGCATGGATTGCACAGACACTTTCATGCAATATATGTGATGGAAGAAGAAGGAAAAAATGGAGTCGTTAATCATGAGACGGGGGTCCAAGGAGAGTGTTGTCAGCTACATCAGACAAAAGTCTATGGCAGTAACTTATTCAAATCTGGCAATCATTGGCCATGAGAGGACCAGAACCAGCCATACAAGAACGATAGCTCTTGAGTGAAGTCAACGAGTCATTGGTGATTCAGTAAGGATAAACTACATATTTAGGGAATCAGAGTTATAATTCATGGTGGAAGAGTGAACATAGTTAGAAAGATTTCCGTTACGATTAGTATCTTTGTTTTACAGCTCCGGCTAGAGGATCTGAATTCAGGTAGATCATTGTCATGCTCGATTAGGCATGGTATATAAGGTGCAGAAATTTCAGATAGGACAGGAATTGCTGTGAGATATCTCATACTCCCTACGGGATTTGAGGTGGTCTAGCCACCTCATCCTTCCAAGTTTTTGTCACTTCCATGAGATCCTGGTGGAGTTGGGTTTTTATTTAGTTAATTGTCAACGTCGATGCAAGCATGGTAGCTAGGGCAGTACTAGATATAAGTTGACTAGTAGACATGTCAGGGTTTTGTACCAATTAGAGAGATCCTTTGAAAGAAAACAGGTTTATGTTTTCTGCGACGACGAGGGATAACTTGAGCTTACGCAACAAGCATAGCAAGAGGATAACGATGTGGTAATCAAACTAGGTATTTGCAAGACTGGGAATGCACGTATGCCAGAGAGACGATAGATAATCCCGATCAAGCAGTCTTCACATCAATTTGTTCTTTTATTTGTGCATGGTTGAATGTGTTGCGCTGTTAATTTGTGTACATATGAAATTTTACAGTTACTGTAAGAACTTGTTGTGGGCTTTTATGTCATTATCTTGTCTTTTATGGAAACATAACGGCATAAGTATCCCCTTCTTATCGCTAAGAAATGGGATATCGTAAACCCCTGCAGCGAAGATATCAGACGCGGGAAGCCTAAAAGTGTATTTGGATTGCTATCATTAGCAATATTATTTGCAGTGAAAATGCATAAGCGACCGAGCATATGATTCAACCATCTACGGAGCACCGCCTCGATCTACACTGAATTTTAAATGACAGCATGATTAATTGGTTATAGAGAATCATATGCACCTTCATAGCAGCATGATAAGAAGGAGAGAGGAGGAGGGGAGGGGGGGGGGGGG